AGAGTGATTTTTGTTATCATTAGTAATGTAATTAAATGTCAGCTGAGGTTCTCCTTGCATGGAAGTGGAGTAGAATACAGAGCTAAGCAAGGTAGAACTGATGGTGTAATTGTCATTGTTAGTTGCTAGTAAGTCAGCTCTGACTTGTGGGGGCCATGTATAACAGAACAAATTGCCAGTCGTTGCCCATTGGTATGCCGGAATCCACTGTTGCACCTACTGTGCATTTTGAGTGTCTTCCAACCTAAGGGGGCCATCTTCCAGCACTGCATCAGACAGCGTTTGGTTATGATCCATAGGTTTTCTTTGATTGATGTCCAGAAATAGAGCAGATATTTCTCTCTAGCCTGCCTGAGCCCTGAAGCTCTGCTGACATCAGTCCACTATGCATAACCCTGCTGATATGTGAAATACTAGGGCATAGCTTCCAGCACCATAAAAACATGCAAGCCACCTCAAGTATGAGAAACTGACGGGTGTTCAAAGGCAGAGGATTTAGTCCATTAAATGACAAAGCCAATGAGGGAGTCACATATAGAGCTTTACATAACTCATAGTCCCTAACACATAACAGACATTCAATAGAGGTCTACAAACCTGAGTTAAACTCAAGGTACTTGCCATCCAACAGGTAATATAGTACAACAGTAACAATGTGACACATTCTAGGAATGCTATATAATGTCATGAAGGGGTGAAGTAAAATTACTTAACATGACTTTTCAATCCATAATCTTTGCAACTCCCACCAAAAATGATGGGGTAAGATGGTGCAAATTGGGTCGGTAAAGCTCTAATGGAGGAGATTGGTCAGTTTGACGAGTGTGTAAAAGGTGAGCCATTGTGCAGGCAGGAACCGAGAATCCTATGGCCAGCAAGAAACAGGAACCAGAAGGGAAAAGAATCTGAGGCCACTCTGTGGCTGCAGCAGAGCAGCACGGAGACCCTGCGATGGTCTTTTTGTCTATCTCTTTGTTTTAGCAAGAGATCCTCCAAGCCAACATGACTCCGCCCAAACATGGGAAACCTGCTGCGGCAACACTTTGTTGAAAGGATTGAAGGACAGAGAGAAAGTAGGTCAACCTGTCAAGGGTGTATCAAAAATCTTTGGTGAGAATGATGAACATCCAAACTAGGGCAAGGCCAGAGAGGATGGTGAAGAGCAGAGAAGTAGAAGAGGCATAAGTATAATGAACTATATTTGACAGCCAAGGACATGTGGGATGCCGAAAAGGAAGAGCTCCAACATTATACGCCCGATTATTAGACCTGGGGATAGGGTGGTACCACAGAAAGAAGAGAGTACCTACCGATGTGAGATTAGGGTACTGGAAAATCAGGAGTGCACTTTAAAAAAAAATTGAACAGCATTCACCCCTCTTTGAAGTCAAAGCTTGAAACTGGACACTAAGGCCCAGAAGTAGACTTTCAAAACTGGTGAGATTCCCAAGACTATGACCCCTTTAGGTCTGGAACAGAATGCGCCCTTGCACCCTTTAAGATCACAGAATGTGCCCTTGCACCGTTTAAGATCACAGAATGCACCCTTGCACCCTTTACAATCACAGAATGCACCCTTGCACCCTTTACAATCACAGAATGCTCCCTTGCACCCTTTAAGATCACAGAATGTACCCTTGCACCCTTTAAGATTACAGTGGCAGCACTGGCCCAAGAACAATGTTCAGACGGTTAGGAAGGAAGGAAGACTGGGGATAGGAAACCTAGAAGGGGAGTGGGATATTTGAGGGTCCATTGAAGTGATTCAAATGGATGAGTTGAAAGACAATGAGACAACGTGTATTAACTATTGAATATCAAACTGATGATCGGCTCCATCAACCTTCACCTGACACTCAGAAATCAGTAAAAAAAAAGAAAAGAAAAGAAAAGCACAGTGAACAAGGAATATGCGAGACAAAGTCTCACATAGCTTTTTACTGCCCTAATAAAGTACATGAGTATGGAATGGGGGTGGGGGGTGGGGGATGAAGTAGATAGTCAACCAATAGCAATTAGTCATGAAGTGATGCCTTTATAATCAAATGATTAGGCTGCTAGCCTTTTACTGTCCCTATTCCGGGGACATTATGCTCAGGTCCAGGGCTGCATGTGAACCCATGTTTTGTGCGCACATTTCACAGCATCCTACCTTAGACAGGATGAATGGTGGACATGCATGGGTCCATGTAGTTATTGTAAGCCCAAGCTGTTTTCACTCAATAGTTACATAATTTACTCAAAAAGAACCTCTTTGTTATTATGAATTCTCTTGATTGAAGGCCAGGATGCTGCATAGGCGGGGCCTTCCTGTCCTAGGGAGGCCCTTAGACTGAGTTCTTCTTACATGCTGTGGTGCCTTGGACCCTTGTTGGCCCAATTCTAATCCCAACTGCATCAAGACTGTAAAATTTTTTTCAGGACAAAGTAGTGATAAATGTTCCTTATGCAGAGGTCATTAGGTTGTCGTAAGGAGTTCCTGGGTGATGCAAATGATTAAGTGTTCAATTACTAACTGAAAGGTTGGCAGTTCAAGCCCACTCGGACTTAGGAAGAAAGGTCTCAGTCTTGAAAAAACGATGGAGTCCAGTTCTACCCGACAGCACATGGGGAAGCCATGAGTCAGGAGTTACTGACAGCACATGGTTTGCTGATGGTTTTATATTGCGGTACAGGATAAAGAAATACTTCCTGTAAGGGGCCAACTGGTTAATATTTGGTGCTGTGTAGGTCCTATGTTCTCTCTCCCAACTTCTCATTTTAGCCACTATAACAGGGAAAGAGTGATAAATAGTGTATAAATGGGTGTATCTGACTGTAATCCAATAAAGGTTTATTTACAAAAACCACACAGCAGGTCTGATATTGATCACAGTTTGCTGACTCATGTTGCTTCAAAGGAATTAGACAGATCTTAGATTTAAAGTCCAGACCATTATTAACCACTTGGTGTGGACTTGGACATGCAACTCTGTGACATTTGATCACGATGGCTTCTTGGCTGATGAGGAGGATGAGAGAAAATGTGTGCAAATGCTTCATCAATAGCTGTAACTCAATGTGTCTGTGGGCTTTCAATTACACAGTAGATAATAACAGTAATCGTTAAGACTTACTGAATGCTTATTAAATTTCAAATACTTAACAAAATTGATTTTACTTAATCTCCTACCAACCTTCTGAAGTAGGCACTATCATAGTAGCGTGTTCTTCTTGGGGTAACTGAGGTCTGAGGATGTCCAAGGGAGACTTAACAAAATCTTGACTGACGTAACAAACCAATTGGCATCAACCACTCCAACTCACAGTGACCCCATGCATGTCATGGCAGAACTCTGCTCCCATACAATGGTCAATGGCCGGGTAGGGGGAAGTAGATCAGGCCTTTAGTCTGAGGTGTCTCTGGGTAAACTCTGTCAACAGCTATGTTAGCAGCTATGATCCTTCGATTTTGTGTCAACTTGGCTGAAATAGAGTTCTTTGTTGTTGTTGTTAGGTGCCATTGAGTTGGTTCTGACCCATAGTGACTTTCTGTACAACAGAATGAAACAGGGCATGATCCTACACCATCCTCCCAATTGTTCTTATGCTTGGTCCTATTGTTGCAGCCACTGTGTCAATCCATCTCCTTGTGAGCCTTCCTCTCTTTCACTGCCCCTTCACTTTACCAAGCATAACATCCTTCTCCAGGGACTGGTCTTGCCTGACAACATGTCCAAAGTATGTAAGATGAAGTCTTGCCATTCTTGCCTCTATGGAGCATTTTGGCCATACTTCTTCCAAGATAGATTGGCCTGTCCTGTTAGCAGTCCATGGCACCTACAGTATTCTTATTGAGCACCGAAATTCAAATGCATCAATTTTTCTATGTCTTCCTGATTCAATGTCTAACTTTCACATGCATGAGATGCAATGGAGAATACCATGGCTTGGTTCAGACGCACTAGCAATATTCTGAAGGGGTCTTGTGTAGCAAGTAGTTTGGCAGTAATCCTCTATGATGGGATCTGACCTAAGAAAATCAACTCCAGAATGGGAGCTAACATAACATAATCAACTCAGTAGACAGCTGGCAGCAGTGGTAGAATAAAGTCCCCTTGATTAGGGGACAGGTGTGTTTCCATTGAAAGAAAAACTAATCTGGGTGTTGTTGAATCCTTTTTCAACAGGCTTTTTGGCAAAGCTTCCCTTCTCCTGGATCTTAATCCAGTATCTGACTTGTTGACTTCTTAGTATATTATCTGCTGTTCCTGAGAACCGTCAACAGATTGCCAACCTTGGATCCATTCAACTTTGCATCCACCAGACTGTGGATTTCCTGCTTCCTGGTTTATCAGCCCCTGCTGCTACAGGAGTGTGGAGAAGTCTCCAGCTTATCATCTGACCCACAGACTTAACCCAAGCTGGATGTACACATTCTATAACTAGGTGAGCCATTTCTTGATATAAATCTCTTTAATATACATACACTTATAAGTGTCACTGGTTTTGTTTCTCTAGGTAACCCATACTAACACAGAAGCCAAACCCTTATTCCTAAGTAAGTGAAATCCCAGGATGTTCAGGCAAACCACTATGCTAGATGACCTTCTCCCTGAGCTCAGCTCCATCAGAAATGTTCAGAATCAAGCATCTCAGGTTCTGTAGGACTTTTCAAAATGCATCACAGTATGACACAGTTGAAAATAATTGAATAGAACAACTATTGGAGATTTACCTCATATCATCAATTCAAATACTATCTTAGGTAAATAAAACACTTATTCCATCACAGTCCCACAGCCCACCCTCATGAAGATCTCAACAGCCAAGGGAAGCCAGAATATTGTTGAGAAACCTAATGCAATTTCATTTTTTTAAAAAAAGTATATCCCGTAATCACTCTAAAAACTATCCACTTCAAAGCTACACTGCTGAATAGCACACTGGATTAATTATGCCAGTCTGCAGCAATAACCTTGAATTAAAGCTGCAACCTTCTATTTTTAAGAAACACTTGCCTTTCTGGTTGATGAAACCTGTCGTCCCATCAGGTAACAGACGTGACCAGGAAAGAGAGAAGCGGTAATGAGTCAATCCAAGCTGTTTGATACATTTCAAATCTTCCTCCCACAGAGTGTAGCTGCCACAAGCTACATCACCAGTCTGGTTCTTGAAAACTCTCTCTCCTCCCTGATGGGTGAATGTGTCCCAGACACTAGGGCCTTTTCCATCTGCATCCCAGCCTCCTGAGAGAAAGAAGAAAATGAAACAGTTACACTCTTGACATCCAGAGAGGCATATGTAGAATGTAAATATTTGTCACCAAAAGAACATACCTCATTAACTCAATGTACCGTATTTAGAACTTTTAAAATATGCCTTTTAAAATAACATGCATGAGTGGCTTATGTGTTCAGCTGTCCTTGATCCCTGAAGCTGACTGGTGGCAAATGAAAAATTACTGCACAGTGTGGTACAGAGCAGGCTGGCATGGATCATTATCTGAAATCCCCTCCTGGTAAACAGAGGCAGGCCCCAGCTTATGAATTTCTAAGTGGAAAACAACTGCTCCTTCTGAACAACACTCTCTGGGTTACATCTGACAACGCGACATGTCCTTGTTGTGTGGGAGGATGTCTGGGGATCTCATCTCTGGCCCTCTACACTTGAACCTTACCTTTCTCTTATCTGACAGTGGAGATGGTCCAGCCAATTACTTTTGAAATAACACTAGGTGTTGATATGATATTGGCATGCTAAATTCACTCAGACCTGTTTTCACTCAACAAATGTGGCCATGAGCTGCCGTCAGCTCATGACGACCACAAGAACAACAGGCATGATGGATGGGGGTGGGGGATGTAAGCCTGGGCAGTGGTTTTCATACTGCTGGGCCAGTGCTCTCCATGAATTGGGAGCCCACTTGATCACAACTAACAACAAGAGAAATTTACATGAGGATAAAGGATAAAATATGTTTGAAAAATTCTAAATGTAGGTTCCTGGGTACCTCTGGAGAGAAAAAGGGAGAAATTGAGCCTGGGAGTGGTACAAGGGTGCCTTTGGTGGTATCTCT